TCTCTCTCTCTCTCTCTCTCTCTCTCTCTCTCTCTCTCTCTCTCTCTCTCTCTCTCTCTCTCTCTCTCTGAGTGTGTGTGTGTGTGTGTGTGTGTACTGCCTACTGGAATATTTGCTTGAAGATGTCCCTTAACTCCTGTGCACGTTTTTGGTCCTATCGGGATGGCGGCTGTCCTGACCAAGTGCAAGTGTATCACTGATGGAGTCTTCCTCAAGGCAGCTGATGTTCTTGGGAGCCTAACACCAGAATCCCGACTGCAGAGTGGGATGCTCTTCCCGGCATTCTCAGACATGAAGGTGGGTAGTTTTTGTGATTGCCCCTTTTAGTCAACAACCTTCCTTCGTTCTGTCCACTCTCCTCCTCCCCTTTCTCTTTCTCCACTATCACCCACCTCCCTCCCTCTGTCCCTTCCACCTCTGGGTCCTCCCTTCATTCCAATTCCTTCTGAGCTTCTCCTATTCTGCCTCCATTCATTTCAGCAGTGCCAAATCTTCTTCTTGTGTGCTTGGCACTACTTGCATACCATCTTTCGCCTTGCTGGTCATGTTCCCCTCCCCCTCCCCCTCTCGGCCCCCCCTCCCCCTTCTGACAGGGTGAATCTGGCTCTGTTATCGGGTACAGAGTAGAGGCTGCTCGTCTTTCATGGTGTTGTGACACACTTTCCGTCTATCTCTCTTTTGTAATAATTGGAAGTTGTTCCATTCCATCTCTCTATCTCTCTCTCTGTCTCTCTTTTTTGTTTTGGTAATGGGTGCTGGGATTGAGCCCATGTCTTGTGCAGTGAAGCAGTGAAGTTAGTTCTTAGCTAACACATTAAACACTCCGCCTGCGAGGAGTAGGGTCGCAAGGCAGAGTTGACAAAGGTTCAAGCCACCAGGATTCTTCCTGGCTAGGCCTCCCGCACCCTCTGGTTAACCCGGGGCCGCCTACGGCTCGGCCTCCGGGGCCAAGCCGTATCTTCAAACGGTTTGTCACCATTTGGGGCAGTGTGCATGGTCCAGTACTTTTGCAGTTGTCCACATGCCGAGTATGTGCTCAATTCCTTTTCTAAATTTCTAGATCTATTTTCCCTTATTACCAAATTAATGTGATGCATCATAATGTGGCTCTGTAATAAGTAAGAATGAGTTAATAACTTGTTAAAGTAATTGAACTGATAATGTTCTGCTGCTGTTTCCTTTCTCTTTTTCCTGGACGTGCAGGTTGTGTCTCCACAGCTGATTGCCCAACTCTGCGAGTACATTTTGGAGACTGGACTCGGGACCGAGCCCGAAGACAAGGGGGATGCTGATTGGCTGTCATATGTTAAGAGCAAGATGTTTACACCTGAACCTTTCCCGCGCTGCCTCGTGCTCCCAGGGAAAGCGGCACAATGACAACTGACGACAATACATTAACGTGTTTTGGAATGTTCTTTTTGTTCTTTTTTCTCTTTTTTTCAATGCATTCGGTAGGTAACTTGGAGCTCAATTTACTTAGCTAGAGTGTTACTAGACGTGGGTTATGACTAGGTGGAAGGTTTTTGATGTAGTATTTAGTATGTGCAAGTTCAATTGAAGCGTAATTATGGACTATCGTCTTGCATTGCGGCAGAGCGAGAGGACAGCGCGGCGCCATGAAGAGACACTGCAAGGGATGGAAAAGCCGAGAGTACAGACTCTTGCTCTTCTTCGCCGTTGATCTATCCGTTTTTTTTTTCAAGTAAGAGTGTCCAGTAGGTCTGCGGTTAACCCCCCCCATGCTGCCCCCCCCCCCCCCCCCACCTCTTCTCCAGTTAAGCGTCTTGATTTTGTAATGGGGTTTCTCATTGCATAGCTTATGTATCTGGGTGCAGCATGATCAGCAGTGGTATATACTGGCCTGTCATTGCAGGGAGGCATTGTGTACCTTTTTGGGGGGTTTAATTTCCAAAAAGGGGTATATAATGTCTCCCTATGGCCCAGCAAGTCACACATTAAGATGCATTTTGAAGAGCGTCAGTTTGGCTCCTATTCCCCCGGCAAGCCGGTCATTAAGTTGCGTCATTTACAGTTTTGCAGACAGTGTCACATGCATCGTTTACGCGCGCATGCATCCTTCCATTGGGTGGTTAGTACTGGTTACCTCTTTAAATTTTCTTTTTCTTGCTTTTCTCAGTCTTTGTTTGCCCCGTTTTTGAGGGGGGTGGGGAGCGGGGGGTTCTTATTCATTCATCACTTCTCTGAAGCAGTTGCACGCGTACCACAAATTGCAATCCTTTGGAAGGGTCAAAAGCGCAATTTGCGCTTTTGCTTTTTTCTCGGTGTGGTAACAGCTGCAGCGCTTTAGATAATAAGGGAGGCAATAAAAGGTGAGGCGGAACTCACTGAGTCGTGCCCGATTTGAGAGAGAGAGAGAGAGAGAGAGAGAGAGAGAGAGAGGAGCTGAAAACGATAAGCCCAGTGAGTTAATAATACGATTGAAATGTGTAGTACTTTTATGCAGTGTTTTTAACTATTTTAGAGAGAGAGAGAGAGAGAGAGAGAGAAGCTGAAAACAATAGGCCTGTGAGTTTTGAATACGATTTAAAATTTAAATGTGTAGGAGTCTTAAGCAGTGTCTTTAACTATTGTAGCGTGTTATGATGTTATACTTCGAACAATTTTTAGGTTTTTAGTGTCTCAGTCATGAGGAGAAGAGTGTTTCCTGTGTTTATAGCTAGAGGACATATTTCATTACATACGGACCGGGTGCGTAATTAACATTTGCTGACTTTTTGTATTTCCCTGTTGGTAGAGCTTGTGGTGGCTCCCTCAGGGTGTACTCACATTTGGACTCTCAAAGAGTGTCAGGACTGAATCTAGCTGTAAAATGTGGTGGGATACGTTCTAAATGAGTCTAATTGCAAATTTGAACTAAGTTGTCAGCAACTGGATACAGTTCTTGATGATTCCGAAAGGATTTCCTTTATTTCGTAAAGCAGAGGTTATGCTCCTCCAACCCCCCCCCCCCCCCCC